GTCAGTGGATTTTCTGTAAAGTTTACGTTTTTTGCGTCATAATACACGAAGCCATGGAAAATTCAACGGTGTTTCCTCGGTGCTAAGTGAACCCAGGACGCAAAAACAATCCAAAAAACCTTTTCACATGTTACTATGGATTTCAAGAACTGTCACGGTGGTGGTAAAATTTGAGGTAGCGTAATCTTTTGTGCTCTGCTTTGACTTGTATCGCTTTGTAGTCATGTTTAGACTGCAGCGGCTGCCCAAGGCAGACCGATATCTGACTTGAGCAGTCTGACCTCAGTTTTTCGCAAGCATTTTAAAAATTTTTCTGCTACATAGATACATTTTTTTAACCCGCCACTTGAAAGCCCTAACGCAAATCGCATTTTCAACCTGTTGTATTTGTAGTTTTTGGTTTTGCAATTTATGAGAACTTCATCGCGTTTGCTCGAGTTTCAATTTTAATTCTCTTCAAGTGTTACGAAGATTTTTATTATGGCTCCGTCGAGAAACATATCTCAAATTTTCTTTATAGTTATAGAGACTTCAGTGTCTGAAAAATTTGGGTCTGAAGGCCAGAATGGAAAGCTGAGGCAGCAGTTGCATCACACACATCACCTTTCGAAGTCGAAAAACCAAAACTAAATAATCACGGTCTATCACAAAACGGTTGTTGACTATTCTGATTCCAGGCTCCAAACTGAGAGCCGACTTTAATCACTGAACCTAAAGAGGACAAAGAAGAAGTTAAATCATACAACTGGTTAAACTGATTAATATTTCTTATGGGAGAACCATCTTTAGAAACCAGATCATTTCCAAACCAAACTTTGAAAAAGAGGATAAAAATTAACAACTTACCCCGTTATGAGATTCCAAAGAGTAACCTGAGAATATTCTTCAGCTGTCTTCCGAAATGGTGAAAATTCAGTTATGAACCCCTTCATTGTTCAAAAAATGTTTAGTAAAACAACGTTAACAGTTCGCACTTACAACCACAAAACGTAGTTCTCTTGTTATCGAAAACAAAATCATAAATTTCAATGTAGCCAAGAAAGGCATATTGTGAGATTCCTAATTAATCAAACGGCCTTTCGAGAGATGGAAGAAAGGGTATTGAGAAATTTTGCTAAGACACTAGAAGGTGGCAGCCTCCGTGGTGGGGTATTAAGTACATTTGAGGACAATTTTGAAAGGTCAAACCACGCACTTTTGAAATCTCAAACGCTAATAAACTCAAGATGACACCTTGTAGAAAGAGACAGTCCTATTGGGCTAATTTTTTTTTTACGACTGACAGATAAAATTTGTCAACTTCGACGCCCAACAGTTAATTTTTTGGCCGTAGTACGGCTAACGGTTAATCTCGTTGAGACCCTCCTTTAAGGTAAATTCAAACAACTTCAGCAGCCATAGTAACGGTCCTAGACATAAAAAGAATATAAATGAAATCTAAAAGGGAAGTGATAGGCGTAGCAGTTGAAAATCTGACGAGGAAAATTCGTTCAATTCGTTTGAACTTGAAAAGTATCGGCCCACACTTTTTCATGAGTATTCAGAGCGCTCAAAAATAGTCTTTTTTGGATTGTGGTGCAAGTTTGCCAATATTGTTTTTGTTAATTTGGCTGACAAAGAATGACTAAGAATAACTGTTAGTCGTGATAAAAAAAGTGAACAGTAATGTATTTTTTGCTAACTGCATTGAAAGAAAATTAAACGTCAACCATAAAAGCTATAAACCCTTCCCTCCCCCTTGAGATTCCCCAATGTGGCTTGTACAGCCAATCTTTGAACAATAAAATGCGATACTGATCAGATGCATCTAGATTCTCCCCAGTTACGATCACTGACACCGGGAATGATTTCCAAATAAGAATTCAGAGGCGTCAACATTATATTTGGTCAATTAAGCGCCTTGGCGTTAACTTGTCGCGGCCCGTGTATTTGGGGCGTCAAATTCTTCTAATTTCAAAAAATTAAAGTAGAACGAGAAATTTCCAACATCAAAGAAAGAACATATTGAATATAAAATATTACCTACTTTCCCGTTTTGGTGGGAAAAACGGGCTTGTCCTTAGAATGGCTTATGCTGAATCTTGAAATATGCCTGATGGAATATACCTGTGGTTCCACTCCTCGTAGGCGTTTCAGATCTTTTCAAAATTAATTGTGGTTTTTCCTTATTTACCTTTTTTCCTAATACTCACGTTTGGTCTTTAAGTCCTCATTAGCATTTCCTGTGCGTCGAGTATTGCCTTTCGCAGATCTTAGAAACGTCAAAGGAGGAATCAAGTCCGACCCAAAACACTACAAAAGTGAAGGCAACATCTCAAGTATTGAGTTAGGTCCCTCACTTAATGGTTCACAGTGGCCAGAGTTCTTATGCAGCAACCATACTGGTCAGGAGCACAGTATGGAAGCCGTAGTGGTGCAAAATTCAATCGATCAGATTGCTGCCAACATCAACATTTATTATTAAGGTCAACGATAACATTTGTCCAAATTCAACAGCTAATATAAATCCAAACACACTAGATCCAACAATCGAAGTAACTCAACATCAACACAAATTTTCCTAGTCTGCAACCCCAGAGAATCACGTTAAAACCAACACGGTATAAAGCTTCAAGCTCAACAACAAAACAGGTTCAACAATTTGGGTGCGAGCGACTGGAGATGGCCGAGGGATCTTGGGACTCATATTTTTATCCCGATTCCAGCAGTCGCCATATTTAGCGAAGCTACCACTCTTCACTCTCGTAGATGTTGTATAAACGCAATAACTTGTTCCCAAGATCTCTAAGTGGTTATTCATAATACTGATCCGTCCAAGAGGTCGACGAAGAAAACGAAGCTATGGTGAGAGTAACGATTTAATTTTAGAATTTTACCAAGCGCTTCGTAACTACACTACGAGCAGTCCCTCCTTTTCGCTTTTCGGCGAATTCCGTCGCGCGATTAAAAAACAAAACAAAACAAAAAAACAAAAAAACAGTGAAGCCACTCCCAGTGATCCCTGTGGCGCGCTGCCATTAATATTTTACACCGTTCTTTTTTTAACTCACGTGACGGACTTTGCTGAGAAGGAGAGACTTACCAGAGTTGATTTAGAAATGTCAACACGCGGTGACTGACTGGTAATTTAAAAAATGTGACTTCATGCCAGACAAGGTTGACTGGTAATTTAAAAGATGTGACTCCAGGCAAGGATCGTGCATCCGCCGATTACAGTCAAACCTGTATTAAGTGGCACTGTATTGAGGAGGAAAATTAGGATTAACTCGGGAAACTTATTAAATATTCAAACTGGCACCTCTTCTTCATTTCTACCAAAGACAGTGATTCCCGAGGGACGTCAGCGTATTTTGTAGCATCTCTTCTCCTGAGCAATCCTGTGTCTCTTATTAAACCTTTAACTCCCATGAGTGACCAAGACAGAATTTCTCCTAACATTATCAAGACAATATCAATCAGATAAGTGAGAAGAATAAAGAAAAATATCAATCTGGTGATAATATGTTGATCCAATACTAAATTCTCTGAACTAGCATGATAAGAATTGTATGGTTGACAGTAAGAAGAATTACAAATCTGATCTGGGAGTTAAAGGGTTAAGTGGTCATTAAGTAGTAAATATTCAATAGAGTGGCCTTGTTTATCGTTTTTTTTTTATAATACTCCGTATCTGTGGAACCTGTATTAAGCAGTCACCCTGTATTAACCTGTATTATTTACCGAATGTACCGCTAAAATGATCTACCCACCGAGCTAAAGAGAGCTCGTTAGCGAGTGGGGCTATCACAGTTGATTCGTTTGTCTGATAAGTGCTCCATATAATGCTAACTGCATGTTACCCCCCAGGTAAAAAAAAACAGTGTCAAAAATTTTTGTTTGAGGTAAAGCTGTAAAACTCTAAAAGAAGTTGTATTCGATTATACTTTGCAGGATCGTAAGACTCCTTCAGCTGTTTCTCCTGTGAACGAAGTTGCTGAGAAAGTCTTGAGTTCTCATGAAATGGTCTGAAATGGTAAGATTTGAAAAGATAAAATAGAACCAGCAAATGAAAAGATCGTAACAAAAATTTCGCTAAATTTTAATGAAATAGTTTAAAAGTGGAAGGCTTGTCGTTCGTGAGCGTCCTCTTGAGGTCTCAGAGGGGACCTTTAGCAGTTAGGACGACAACGCCGCGGAAGACGTCGATTTAAAAATGAATATATATTTTCAGTTGGATCTCCCGAATTACTGGATCTCCTTATTATTTCTCACAGCGCCACAAGTTAATGTCAGCATAACGTATGAGAGCGGCGTGGAGTACTAAATGGAAGGTTAACTAATTTGCCGTGGGATACCCTTTTTGAGACCACGCAAGTTTTGATGATTTCAAGTTGTTATTTTGCAGAGAACGGCTAAGAAATGTACACATTTTTAAAAGGCTCGCGCTGAGCTATCGTTCTGCTCATTAGATCTTTTGTCTGCCACTTCCTCGTTGCCGTTGTCGTCGTGGTTTGCGAAAGGTCCCTAGTCTCAGCCTTCGCCGGGATATTTTCTCTTTAATGGCAAGACACTTCATTCCCTTAGCGCTTTTGCCAACTCTGGACTATAAATGACAACCAGCAAACTCAATCAATCAGTCAATCATTTCATTAATGTCATAGTTTGAAGTAAGGTTGCCCTATATATCCGAGCCATAGGCTCACGTGTTAAAACTTAAAAGCTGAGCACATCAAATATGAATTATAAACGAAATATGGTAAGTATAAGAATATACAGATAAGTAATTTTATTGAAATACTTCGTTCAGACCACATTTAGATATAAAAATTGTATAAAATGGTATTTTTACATTCCTTAGTTAGACTATCAAATTATGACACAGTGAGAGAAAGCTGATTCCCAAAAAGTGACACCTTAAAAGCAAACGAATAATTAAATAATTTTCAGTGATGTTATTTTTATAGAGTGTTTCATCAGAAAGCAGAAATGATGATGTGACAACAGTGGGGGCTGCTGTCAGGATGCGGAGGACTAAGCAGAGTGAACGTAAAGCAACAATCGCCTCAGACTCCCCTCTGACCGACATTCCTGAGTATGCGTCAGAAATAGAGCAACAGGCGTTTAGCAGGATCAAGCAATGGAAGAACAGCTTTGCTCTGAAATTGAATAATGTTCTTGGGGAGCGATTTCAGGAAGTGGTTGCGAAGAAGGAAGAAGAATCATGGCGAAAGAAGAAGCCAAAAGTTTTAAATGTTCCCATGAACTTGTCTGATCAAGAAATAGGACAACTGAGAAACAAAATACTTCTGGAATTGAAGCAAAAATCAGCTGGGGGCGGCAGACAATGACGTCCTCCTTCCACCCACGCTTCCCATTCTGCGAGTTAAATTTCCAAGAAAAGCATCAAGTGATCAGAACCCTGCAGATTTAAGGGCTCAAATGACGAAGGAATTATCACGTCGTGTTTCGTCTGTTTTGGACGACGAGGAGGCTACCCACTGCTATAGACCATCATCTTTAGTGCCAATCTCCACAAAGAGCTCGCTCCGAGCCAAACGCCAAATTGTTGATTACATACCCCACGGAACTGGTTATAAATTATTGGATCCTGATGGTATTTATGACTTGTTAAACTGGCACGATGCCGAGAGATAGCACTTAAAAGCTTAGATGGAGGGGTTACTACGAGCTGACTTACAAGGCCGACAGGTGGGGTATACCTATAGCAATGTGTGCATTGACTAGTACGTAGCAGAGGAGCGGGTCAGCCTCAATAGCAACGGGTATTTTCTGTTAGTCCAAAATGAGGGGAAAAGACTGTTTTATAGCCTTGAAAGCAATATAGTAAAGCTGTGGGGACTTCAAAAACTCATCATTGGAGTGGTTGTGACTATGACTTTGCTAATTTTGACCAAAAGTGTTTGAAGGACTACGCTCATCGTACCATCAGACCTCTCAAACCAGTAGTTTTTGTACAACTCGTTCAAAATTAGAATGCAAATTATATGTTTCTCCACAGAAGGTTCGAAGAACACGAACGTAATTTCATAGACAACCATTACCTATAGCAATAACTTCAGCTAGATGAAATTACAACAAAATTATGATAAACCAAATCCTCTATGCTAAGAAAGTTGACTGCAAAAATGTGAAAGTCTTTGATAGGGATTAGTCCTGCGATAGTTTAGTCTTAGTTAATACACACTGAATAATCGCATTTACCAAATGGAGTAGAGATGTTTTGATTCCTTTTTCATCATCTTTAGGTGGTCACTGATAGAGACGATGCTAATAAAGTTCATCATTCGATGTTCAAAATAATGGAAGACATTTTTACGGGGACGATAAAGCGTTTCATGGGGTCAGAAGAATCAGTAGCTACCGTAGCCACATCAGACAATGGAGGCAAAGCTAATTTATCCAACACGACGGGAATTGGAGAACAAACTCAAAGTACCATTTCAGGTCTGGTATATCGTGGTAAGAAAACGGCAAAGTCACATTCAATAATATTACAACGCTGTGTAGAAAACCACTCCTTTCAGTTGCAAAATACTTTTACTGCAGCCCTGGAATCCAAGCCCCTAAGACGATGAAGCCAATTACCATTTAAGGTTTTTTGTTAATATGGTGATTCAAATCCTGTAACCTCCTTTCGGCTTCTAGTTAAGTTTTAGTGCCAAGTTTTTTGTTTTGACAGGTCAGGTTTTTTGTGTCACAAAATTTGCCTCGTGAATCTTGACCTCGTGTACTCGATCAAGGTCTCCTGACTCGCTCTCATACCTATAAACATGGTTTATTACATCATGCACATCTCAGTAGAGAAGAGGAAAATGTAGCATCAGCAAGCTGTCGAGGACGTACATTTTTAAATTTTGGGGATAGAATTGAGACGCTAAGGTGACAAGTTCGTGTTTGTAAAGGAGTTCTTTTCTTGAATCTTCAGAAACTAAAAAGAATGAAAAGCCTCAGGAGACTGATGACACGAAATCTGATATTGAAGTGGAAACTGCTAGGGTAAGTATTCTTTTTTTGCCAGTTCGGTTTCTTCTTTGAAGATCAAATGAAAATGTTATCGTTAAACCAACCGGGTAGGATGTTAAAATGCCAAACAGCCAATAAGAACTCAAAGTAGATAAAACGAATGATTGCGCAGGCGAAAAGGTTGGGAAGTGGGACGAGTTTTATATTGCAATTACAGAGCACAATATGCAATACCAAGATTATTTTTGAATGCTATCGACACTTCATAGGACTATTCTAATCTGAATAATAGAGCGGATTTTTCACTTAATAAGTATTAATTTTTTTTCGGTCAGGTGAAGGACGTACGCATACCTCTGGTGAAAGCATTTTTTCCCAAAGTGGAAGTATCAAGAGTCTGTCAAGTGAATCAAGTGCTGAGCTACCTTCGTCAGAATCCTCCCTGACAGGAATAAGTTTTTCCTCTTCCAGCGATGCTGTAGATGTATGTGACGATCCAAATACAAATGCATCAAGGAATCTCAAGGAGCTATATTAACACTTCCGTTTCGGTTAACAGTAACTTTGTAAGTGCGTCGTTAAGTCAGGAGGCCGACTTAGAAAGTAATTGGGAGCGCAAACGGGAGACTGATGGTCTCACAACACGTGGTAAAGCTGATGGTCTCACAACACATGGAAACGTTGATGGGTCAGATAAAGATCAAATTGTTAGAATCGAAAGCATTGAGCTTTCCTTGAACACAGACAAGACGACGCAAACGAGGACATAGTCGCAAGGTCAGAGGAAGTGCTATGCTACAAATTTCCAACTTTCCACTCGTCTAAAAATACAACTGAGCCCAAAGAACTCACCGGGAAGACTATAAGTCTCATAGCTTTTGATAGCAGTTATCAGGGTCAGATCCGAGGATTTGAGGAAACTCTTGAAAATAAGACAGCTGTTGAGCATATGTTGCAGCAAGAGTTGGAGACTTTAGAAAACGAGCCGAACGTTGTCAAGGAGACGGCAATAGGTGAACTATTAGAAACGTCAAACTCGTCTGAAGAAGCAAGTCTACTATGTACCTTTAAGACTGAATCTACTGACACAGCAAATGAACCCCTTTACCTGAGGGAACAGCATGAGAACTCTGACGAAAAAGTCTATCAAATGAAGATCCAAGAGCTACAAGAAACTCCTCAAAGGAAAATAGTTTATGGGGAAGTGTTAGAGGAAGAAATGAAGTGTTTAAAGAACGATCTGAATTAGTGTTAAGAGCAACTCTGAATACTGATTCAATCAGTGCTCTAAGGAAAAGGAAAAAATCCAGGAATTACTTATCAGTACTCAAGGCGTGACCTCCCTCAACTTTGAATTGCGCCGGGAAATTAACCAGAAAAGTAAAGTTATAAACGAAAGAGACGAGGAAATAAAAAGACTTATCAAAAGTAAGACTGAAGCAGAGATACTACTGCGAGAGGTAAAGGAGAAACTTTTAGAAGCTCACAAGGAGACAGAACTTTTGAAACTAGAGTTGGCGTAAATGAAGAAAGATAAAAGGTCGACCGCTTTCCAAACTGATGGTAAGGTTCTCACAAAGTCTGACATTCCAAATGACAACCTAAGAACAACTTACAAAGGAAAAACACGCTTTCTCGTTTCTAATCCCGGCGAACAAGTCTTACCATCGAAAGTTGAATATTCAACGCTTCACCAAGGGTTCATGAGCTTAGCCAGCAAGGATAAGAGGCAACAAAGCACGGTTGATAGAGAAGAGATAGCAACTAGTGGCAGGAAAGCAAAAAGTACATTTTCCGCAAAAAATGGAAAGAAGGGAACCCAATCGCTATGGTTACCTACGAGACCCTTTCTGGAATCAAACTGTCCAATGACGCATACGAAGACGAACATCAGATTTATTCGTCTAACCTAGACTCACTTGCACTGGAAAAGTGCATTTGTCAAGAATTTAATGTCGCAAATCAGTGGTATAAAAACAATGGCATGATTGTTAACGAGAAAAAGCACCAAGCTCTAATCCTGGGAAAAAACTGAGCACAATTTTTGTTTCCCAGTAAATAATTCGATAGATATATTTGGAATGACAATAGATAATAGGCTTTCTTCTAACAATCACGTATCAGTTATCTGTAAGAAAATAAATGATCAATTTCACGTAATGCTTAGATTTCAGAAACTTATTAATAAGGAGACGCTATTGAAGCTTTATAAAGCCTTTATTTTGCCGCATTCTTACTACTGTTCTTCTGTTTGGCATTTCTGTGGTGCGCGCAATGCCGACAAAGTAGATAATCTAAATAAGCGCATTCTTAGGTTTATACTACAGGACTACAGCTCTCCATATGACATTTTACTATGCAAAGTTAAGTTAAAATCTCTATTCATTAGACGCCTCCAGAACTTCACGATCACGTTATATAAGACTCTGTTCTTTACGAATTATCCAGGTTATTTAAAAGATATGTTCAACGTACGGTCTTCATCCTACAATTTGCGCGGAAATCATATCATATCCCTTCCCAAACCAAAAACAACGACATACGGTCTGCACTCTTTTTCATACTTAGCTAGCAAAATATTGAACTCTCTCTTTAAAACATTAAATTTTCTATAATTCAAGCAGGAGATCTTTTGATATGAAGCTTTTCCACAGTAGATCTACAAGTTATATTTCCCTCTGCATGCATAATGTTGTATATAGTTTATAAATAATATTGGAATTGTAAGATAGCATATTTTCATTTTATTTTAGCTTATTTTTCGAAGATATTAGCTCTACAGCTACACTGAATTTCGAGCATAAATAAAGTATATGTATGTAATGACCAGAGATTCAGAGAAAACTAAGAAAGCTGTAAGAGAATGGCTTAATAATATCATACGGGAAGCGAATAATAAATTGGCCAGAGAGCAAAAAAATCAGTAATTTGGAAAGCACTGACGACATTAAAAGGAAAAAATACTTTGATGGTGGAAAAAAAGAGCAAGTCACTCTCTGAGAGAGACAATAGCTTCCCTTCAGGAAAATATCTCGAAGGATGGTTCAAAACTTACGGAGCAACACCACGAAACCTCTTCCTCTCGCCTGGGAACAAAAACCAGGAGGCTTGACAGACAGGAGCCATTTAGAACAACAGAACATGCCACAAAAGAATTTTTTGTTTCCAAGCGAAGCTTGGCAGCTGAACAGCATGCTATACAACAGGATGAGGTAACCCCGGTTAGAAAAGACTCAAACCTGGCGACTTACAACTCACTTGGTTCCTGGTTGAATCATTTTATTTCCCCTTTTTTAACCCGTTTCGACGTCGTAGACTTTTCAACCGCCGACCCTATTGACTCTGTTGAGCCATTTAGTGAAGATTATCTTCCGTGGTTAGATTAGATACCGGACAAACACGGAGGAATTACGGCGAAAAGTTAGCAGGGAGGGTCAACATTCTACACACAAAGTCAGTCTCAACAAATTCCTCTCATCAAGCGTTGTAAAGAAACGAAGCTCAGGGAATTCAAAATTGAACGGCCCATAGGTATGCCATATTAGAATCTTGATACGCGGACGAATTATGCTTTGTAACATCACAATCAAGCAATGTTACTTTTTGTTTAGAATTTTTAAATTTCAGAGGTAAGCCATGCTCAAAGGGAAAGTCACAATATTTCTTTCGTTTTTACATTGTTCATTGTTCGCCAAAGGCGAAATGAAATGATTGATGAGTAATCCCCGGATGAATTCGACATTATTCACTGACCCTGAGACGAATAATTATTTTAGTATAATTGCTTAGGTGCTTTTGAATTCTGTTGTAAATTTGTTTTGTGGTTGAAACCATTGTGTAATCGGTTTGATTACTGGAACCTATTTCATTCTAATTCCGTCAGAATTAAACAGGTTCATAATTTAATCTAATCCACTAAAACTTTGTGTCTCTTTTAAAAAGTGTTTGGAAAGTGTTAAGCTACACTTATGGCATCTTTTCTGCTCTTCACAATTGAATTTTATTCTATCGCGCTTCTTACTCCTTGCGTAACATGAGAGTGAGTTAGCAAGGGGACGGGAACGAGAACGTTATTTCAGAACGGGAGAGCGCGCGGATAGTCTGGACAGGACTCTATATCGACTTCCGGTGTTGGCATTATCGTTCTATTCAACAAATTCAGGGCATCATCTCGCTGGTTTTCCCGTCGCGATCGAAACACGTGGGATTTACGTAAATTGTGCACTTGTAAATAATAATGTTTGGAATTAATCCAAAACTCATTTCCAGGATAAGTAGGTCCCCTTCCTTCTCTTATTCAGTGTATTTGTGAAAATTTATCGCTGAATTTTTGCAAAGTGGCTCTAAAATTTGACAGATGAATAAACAGACGCGAGACTAGATTATAATAATTTTGTAAAAAGTCCAATTGTCCATGAGGATTCCAATCAAAATCTTACTTTTCTTATCAGTAATTATCCTCTGTTTTCGCTTGTTGCATAATTCTCAAAGAAGCTAAATTCCTTGTCCCTAGAGCTGTCTATGAAACCGAAACTTTGTGATGGCGATCTTTAAAGAGCCAGGGTTTGGATATTCAAGAACGAAGATAGCGCTGAAGTCTCGTCGCAACGACTGCTAAGTCACTTCTGAATCACAACGGGGCGACATACCCGACCCAATTCCTTACCAGTCTTTTTACTGCGTGCGTCGTTGTCGTGGATGGCAACGGTTAACCTCATTGGAAGTCTCCTAGAAGAGATCCTTTTTGGATTTCCCGGAAAAACGCAAAACATAGAAATTAATGAGATCTGGAGTTGGATTTCTTAATTGAGATCCACTTTGAGGATGGATTTCTCAGCGATGAAAGTCGTCTATGGATTTCATGTTTACCGCCAAATCCGAATTCCCGATTTCAAAATCAAAATCCAGATTCGTAACAGTTAAGCACTCAGATTTCTTTGAACACGGCGTCTTCTTTCTGATTGGCCTAGACTAGCTCTCGACCCAGTTTCGTAGCAGCCACGTTCAAAATGGCGGACGAGCTGCGTGAATGTAGAACTGAAAGCACCGATGTAGCACTGAATAGTCGGTTTATTTCGACAGTTAAGTTACATTTGATGACGGATGATGATGACCTATGCTAAAAACTCGCCTCATCTTCATATTGTACATCGGATGTGTGAAGTAACGTCTTTCTATCATGATGAAATTCTAATGTTTACCAGGAACCACTTGACAGGTAAGAGATCTTCCAAGAACTTTCAACCGATTCAATGTCTATGAAATGTATCTTATCATATAGGAACGATACTTATTCAACTTCTAACAAATGTTGCACTGATTACTAAGGAATGGGGTGATGGAAAAACAATGACCTTCAGTCCATGGACAACTCAAATGAACTACCATAACACGCACCAATCCTTCGATGTTTTTTGTTATGTTTTCGTACGTCACAACAAACTCCCCGAAATGTAGGCGAGCATTTTAAACATTCAAAATCCTCTCTTCGAAATATAGCGTGATCCAAGTGATGTTACATTCAATATCGGACATGAAGTAAGGAGAGAAATCGATAATATTAAAATGCCCTTTAGTATATAGATTGACGCAAATATCAAATATATTTCCATGTACGTGAGTTGGCATGGCTGTGTTTGGAAGGAGGTTATATTTATAGGACTTGCACACCCATTTTAAGCCGCATTGTAAACATATTTATGGTCTAGAAGAGCAACACCTTTTTTTCTTTTCATTTTTTTCTGATTTTCTTATTCTAAATGAATTTAAGGTTCTATCATGGTGATTTGTTGCAAGAAAGGTTGCTTATCATAAGCTCTTAAGAATAGAGCTATAAAATAATAGAAGGTTAATCCCTTTTACAAAATTCAAATTTTTGATTGGGTTCTTCAAAGTTGACCTCAATAGCATTTAAATGTAAGTTGGCCAATTCGCCTCATCAGATTTTTAATTAAGCTTAGTTAGACATTGAGAAACCTAAGTTTCAGTTGTGTTCTGCAGGCATCAAGTGGTTTCCCTTAGAATTTTAAAGTAAAAGGCAGAAATTGTAATTTCTGTGGCTTTTAGAATATCTCACCAAAGTATCTTTTGCAACAAGTTTCATCATAATCAGTTACAGTGTCCCTTAGCATGTTTCTGTCCTTTGGAACACTTTCTCGTAGACAAAGAGACTTAAGAATGTTTTTTATTTATATACTGTGTGGTGTAGAAAATGAATTTGAAAAGAAAGTAAATGAACCTTAATTTGTA